ACGGATTCTTCTTTATCTTCCTTTGCTTCTTCACCAAATGATAAAAGATTGAAATCTCTGTAACAAAATTTTTCATTACAAAGAATAATACTATCAGGGCTAAATTCTACAAACATATATGATTTTTATTTTAGTACTTCCTGTACTATTATCCTTGGTGTAATATCACAAAATGGATTCTATAATATAATTTTTATCAATCTTGGAGGATAAACTGGTCTATCATTCTACAAAAAAGAGGAAATATTATATTTATATCAATTCTTGATATATTTTCTTGTAAACATTAAATTTACCTCATCTGCAGGTGCTTCTTCGAATTTAAGCATGTTATACATAGTTTCTCCAGTAACCTTACCGAAGATTGTATGTTTACACTGCAATTCTGATGTAGAACCAAGAGTAAAGAAGAATTGGGAACCATTGTCATCTTTTCCAGCATTAGCAGTACAAATTAAATCTCGTCGACAAAAATGTAATCTTGTGTGAAATTTGTCCTAAAACACACATATCCAATAACTATTTTTGAATAAAACAGGAATTCATTTTATTTTTAAATATAAACCTGTACCCGTGGGATTACCACCTTGTGTTATGAATCCTTTGATAATTCTATGAAATATAGTGTCATCCTAATAACCTTCCATACATAATTGTATGAAATTTCTACATGCCTTTAGAGTTTCTTTTGCCCATAATTCTAACTCAATATCAACAACAGTTGTCTTCATTGTAACCTAGTTACAAGAAATATATTAGTTTTATTAATGTAAAATACTTTTAAAATCAAATTTATTAAAATTTATTATTTATTATTGTAATTCAAATTAGAAATTATATAATATGTTAATAAAAAAAAAAAGAAAGTAAATATTGTATATCGGTCAAATTTTTAAAAACATATATAATCCATTGAAATATAACAAATACTTACTTTATCCAAAGTGGGTGGTGCTTGTATATAAATATTACTCGTTTGTCTGTCTCCCTTAATGAAATAAATCCTTCGTCAATAATATTTCATATTAAATCTTTAGTCATTTATAAATCAATCAACCAAATAGTTCTTTTCTCGAATAATCATCAGCAGGTTTGACATTGGTTTTATTCGCCCAATCAAATCCATGATGTGCCACAGCCCCATTAATCTTGCTGCTTTTATAAGTTCCAAGTTCGATATTTCTACACATTTGTGCCTTAATACCTTTACACTCTATATTCAATTTATCTTTAATTTTTATAACTATTACCAAGTGTTCATTCTCCATCTCTTCATTGATCCTTATATTAGCATTTCCCTGGCACTCATCCTTCTCTGTTGATATATATGCTGCCCATTTCCTGTTTCTGCATTCAAAATAATGTACATTTCCTCCACTCATTGCTTTCATTCGAACCTACCTCTTTTCTTTATATATCTCAGCTTCAGCATTCTGAAAATTAACGCATTAGCAATGATCATTGACTTTTACAACTGTTATTAATATTTATTTAGATCAGGAATACAATATACCTTTCAATCTCACCTTATTCTCTATATTTAATTGTTATAAGAGGCCATCACCTAAATTAATTTCATTCCTTTTTGTCTGCCTCAGTCATCTCCATCATCTGAATCTTTATTTGACCAAAAATTTCTATCTTGTATGTTATATGGTTCGCTGACCTTGAATCTAATAGACATATCATAACATAATTGTATTGCTGCTTCCATTTCTTCTCGCTATAAAATAAAATGCTTGGTACCTAATAGCTCTACGCTGATGATATTCCATGAGTCAAATATTTTTCTATTGCTGCAAGTGCCTGTTTATTTCAACACTGTTTATTTCAACAGAATACTGTCTTTTCTGTACCAAGCTCTGCTATCACTAATAAAAGGTGGAAAAACAATGGCTCATAACTTACACTATTTAATTACAACTGAAGGTTATATTAATACAAAGGCTTACATTCTTTTCCGTGATGTAGGCACACCTAAATGCATACAACAATGCTTCCAGCATTTGTTTGCTATTTTTCGTCATTTCCTATGCACTCTCCTGTTCACTTGAAAAACAATTAACGAATCACTCAATTTCTGTGATTAATTTATGACTTTTATAATTGCGTTGTAAAGGCGTACCGTTGCATATTTGTCGTCTGCCAGGTAAAGAAATGAATGCTGATTGTCTAATTAAAACCACTGTTTGGGCTGAATTTATTAAAGAATGTATAAAACTTTATGGGATTCTTAAGCGAATAAAAAGAAGGGAAGAGAATGTGTTAGTTATTTATGTCGTTTTATTGCTTTATTTATTTCGTCCACCACATCACGTGGATTTAGGCGACCCCCAGACACAATCTATGTTCTTTCTACCTAATCCGAGCTTCGAGTTTAAAATCATAGATGACACTGATTTTCTTTGAATAGGTTACTAACTCTGGTTATGTGCTTCTGATACTTCCTAATAAACCAATTCGGTAGTGGAAAATTAACAAATTACTCAATATCTGTAATTAATTTATGAGCTTTTATAATTGCATCGTAAAGGCAGATCCTTCAAGAACTTTCCAATATATTTTTCGATATAAATTTGTACCTAATTAATTAATTATTAATGATTATTCTACGCAGTGTTTGAATTATTGTCTCAGTCGCCATTGGTTTTTTATTAATTACTATCCTTTACGTAATTAATTTATGAAACTTTATGCACTCATTACAAAAACAATGTTCTTACGAATCTTCTCATATAACTTTTGATCACATTTTGCTTCTAGTTTCGTTTGATATTAAATATTTTCACCGAAGATCGTGACGGTCGTTGTTACGAAATCATGAACACCATCAAGCAATATTTAACAACTAATCAATTAGTGGTAAATTTTTTACGGAAATTGTATAAGAATGTTGAATAAAATTCCAGCTTTGTAATGCAATTATAAAAGTTTATAAATTAATCACGGAAATTGAGTAATTCGTTAACTTTTCACTATCGGAGCCCTTCAATCCTTTTCTATCCCCTCTCTTTTCTTATCTGTCACTTGACGAGTTTGTCGACGACCTTCTCACCTATTCTGTGTTCCTATTACTTTTCTGAGTTTCAGATTCAAAATCATAGATGATGCTAATCGCATCGCATCGGTAAAATTTTTCATCTTAATACACTATACAAATTTAACATCTTAATAAATCAATTCCGCAGTAAAAAATTAATAAATTTAAAATTTTCTGTAATTAATTCATGAACGTTTATAGCTGCCCAGCAAAGTTGGAATTATAGCAGCATTCTTATATAATGTTTAATTTAATAATTACACTTACATGAGCGATAGGTTTTGTATTTCCTGTATCTAATGATTATTTATATTTTCATTTTCTTTCTGTAATAAATAAGATTGCTATAGAAAGCTGTTTTTCTTGCATAATATTCTTATTGTTTTGTAATAAATATATACTTGCATAGGAAAACGTAAAAAACAAATTTTTTTATTAAGAAATTTTATTTACAATTGTTTATTTACAATGTTTTCATAGGCAAGAAATGAATACAAAATAAAAAATAGATTTAAAAAAACTACTAAACTGTGGACAGGAATCGAATCCCGAGCTTGATTCGTACGAATTTTCAGGTGTCCCTAATAGGCCACAACGCCACTTGAAAACCATTGGAAATAAATCTATAAGTACAGAAGTAATAAAACTTTAATCGTAAATATCTCAAAAAGTATTAAGTAGTGGCGGCTATAATGATATATATCCTTGAATTGCATGACGAAATCTACAAACCTGCAAAATTTCAACTAAATCGGTGACCCGACGAACTTGCACTCTCCTTATCAGTCCCACTTTGAAACGCTGTAAAATTCGAACGACGTGACCTACACCCACGTAATTTGCACACATGATACGTATGCACCTGAGGATTAGTTTGATTGATCCCGCAATCGATTCGGCCGTCATCGAAAAATGTCAACTTTTGCCACTTGCTCTCAGACCGAAACCTTCCGACCAAAAATCAATAAAAAATCTTGTAAGATCGAAAGCTCGCAATAACCATACGTACTCGTAGGGCACACTCTAAGCTCTCGCATAGCCAAAGCTCGCACTCTTAGCTTGACGAGGAAGCTCACTACAGCATCAAAAGTAACTAGCAATATCGATATAGTCAGACTCATATATTCTGTCTTTGAATCACCACTTTTGAATTACGCAAAAGAATTTGAGTTTTGTATTAATATATAGTTCAGTTGTAAGTAAGTAGTGTGAAATATGAGCCATTGTTTTTCCATCTTTTATTGCTGATAGTAGAGCCTGATTGTTGAAATTTATTTCAACAATATTCTGTTGAAATAAGCAGGCACATGCAACAGAAGAAAGATATCGGATTCATGGAATATTACAAGCATAGATCTATTAGATGTCATGTCTATGACATGTCTGTTGGTTTGTAGATCGGCTAGTCATATAACATACAGGGCAGAAATATTTGATATCATGTTAGAGTAGGCTGTTTTCTAACTTGTGTACCAATTTTTTTTCCATTTTGACTATTCTTTTTCGAAATCCAGTGCCGAAAGTGCAAGTGGTTGTCAAAGCGTGCTGCGCAAGTATTCCCGTATCGTTATGTGATATATTATATAGTGATATTAAAAGAAAGGAAATTAAAAATTCAAGGAAATGAGATGAAGATAGGAGAATTAAAAAATACATTACCTTAATTATAATAACCAAAAATTTATTTCTGTAGATGTGTATAGAAAATCCATGTCATACATAAGAAAGATTTTAATATATTAATCCTTACAGAAATTTGTTAACTATGTTAACAATCTTAATAATTTAGTATATGTAACAATATCTTTTTACAAGTACAAATTATATTTATACGATAGGCTAAAACTTATTGTAAGTACTGCAGTTTTGTAAGTACTAACTACATAACTACTATCATAGCGCGAATCGTTCAAATTATTAATTATTAACATTACTTTCTGATTTTATTAAAAATATAATATTATGTTATTTTTTTATTAACATACACTAGATAACCCTTTGAGGATAAGATACCACGACATTTTAAATGAATTTGATATCTTGTAATCCAATATAAACTTGTATGAGCATTAAATATTCCATTTAGGTCTTCTTGATGTAGAATTTCTGTAAGCAACAAACAAATCATGAAAGATAACCTCTTATTTGATTTATTACCATATCTGTGTAAATATGTAAAAATACACTTACGTCCAGGATCATTATGTGTTAATAATTGTACATCATTTTCTTTAGCAAATGTCTGCAAAACTGGTGGTACAACACAACATGTAGCTAAACTAATTTGTACAATATTTGGTTTTATCTGTTTAAATAAATAAATTTAAATAAATATGAAATAGCAACAATGCTATAAAAATACAAATAAAAAGAAAATAATTTTACATTTGCCCATTGAAGTAGGTCAATAAATACATTTGTGTCAACATCACTTAAACCAACACTTGATAATTTGCCAATTTTCACATATTCTTCTACTCCAGTCCATAAATGTTTCAATGATGCTAATAACTCTTCTGAACTTTCCTTACTTGAATAAGCAATTACTAAAGATTCAATTGCATTTATATTTAAAGAATCACAGACTGAAAAAGGTAGTATAACATAATATACTCAGACATGTGTAACTAATAGCAGATTATAATAAATTATAGCTACCTTGATCTATAGCTTCCTTTAATAAATTAACATCAGCTGATGAAATAAATACTTTAACAGTTATCTTAACATCTTCTCTATTAATATCTTTCAATGCATTATCTTCTATACCTTGAATCTGAAAGTGAGTAAATTGCCATTAATAATATACTTTTCAGAAATTTCAAATAATAAATAAAAAACTGATCATACAATTACTGGATTTTCATCTGTCCCCTCATTGTCACGAAGTACAATTTTTAGTGTTTCAATTAGCTGAAAAACAAAAAAATTTTAAATCACGACTATAATGCTTTACTGAGTTTTCAAGGAAACATAACCTCGAGAATTATGATCCTGACTATAATATAGAAAAAATTTAAGTTACAAATTTTGTCATAAAAAATTTAAAAACTGACCTCGTCTGTAGGATTTTGACTTGCTTTTGTTTTTGCCTCATTTAAGGAAAGTATATTTCCCGTTCGTACTAATATATTTTGTGATAACATAGTCTGGAACAAAATGTAAAGAATGTTAGCAAGCACGCTGCAGGTGACTAACTAGAAGTATTACGAAAACTAATGACATAAATTGTAATCAACGATCACTCGCTTGCGATGAGTTTAATCGTAGATGACGTGGCTGACTAAGCAATTTTCAACCTAAAGATAATATCAATAAAATTCCAGCATGAAAGAATTTGTATAGAGGGTGTCCTGTAACTGATGATATAACCAGGAAAAGGCTAGTTCTACAGAAGAAAAATGAGTTAAAAACATGAAACAAATATTTTTCATACGAATCTCTCGTTTTTGAGAAAATTCTCTTTAAATATTTGTCTAGTGCAAATGCATCTAACTATGTTTTAACAGAGCTTGCTGCAAACTAACGTCACTGTTCTCCTATGACAATTTTACGATTATTATATAAGTATTATGCGCATAAATATCGAGCAGTTAGATGGTAAGGACGTTTTACTGTTTGATAAAATATAACAGTAAAGTATGCTAGAAATTGTTTAGAAATTTAAATGGAGGAGCAGAGTTGTGTATTTGACAGAATGGACATTTTTAACAACTGCTAAAGTAACAAGATTAATTATCCGATATAATAAATGCAATTACAAATCTATAATTAAGATCTGTTACATTGAGACATAGTGTATCCATATCAATCAAATATGTAAAATCTATTTTCCCAACAACAAAGCCTCGTATGAAAAGATTATATCTTACATTTCCGACTTACTTTTTCACATAAAATCACTCCTTTTACAATTGTACCATCGATTAAAGGATACCTTGTATATATACATGTTTATAAATTGTTTGCAATGTTTGCATTGTTTGATAAAAATGATTTTTAAATTACCTGCGTCAAGATACACATAGCTATATAGATATAAGTACGTCATTAGTTTTTTCGAATTACATATTACGCAATTGTAAACAGTTACCTGAAATACGTACTTTTTTTATACAATTACTTATTGTATATTGTATACGAGTGTGCGAGTATGCATGTATACGTATATATGCATGTATCTATATGTCATCATGTTAAATTTGTGTTTTACATATGATTATGCAATTATACTTTCATACACCATAGTTACAATTTTTTTTTCTTATATCTAATGTATATTAATTTTTTATATATACATTTTTATAAAAAATAAATTATTTTATGTTTTTTTTAAATTAATTTTCATACTATTTAGGATTTTTTCCATATTGATTAAAAATTTTGGTATATATGTACATATATTGAGTTTACATATTTAATACTCATTAATATGTAGTTTCTGTCATTTTTAAATGCAGAAAATTTATAATCTGGTTCACGAAATAAATTAAATGGTGCTTTAAATTTTAATAATAATACTTTCATTATAAAATAATTGGTCATGTTCACAAACAGACTTAAATCAAGTAACATGATTGACATAGATACAGTATTTTATTGGTATATATACCTCCATTTAGTATCAATGAAGTATTGAATTGCAATAGATAGCGCAACAATCGTTGTAATAGAAAAATTAAAAAAACCCTCTATACAACTGATGCACCACGATTACAACTGTGATGTGCAACTTGCTAATGGCTAGTCAAGTAAGAAAGAAGTACTTCAAAAAGTAAATCAATTAATAATAAAATTATAATCTTACGATAAAAATATGCCTGCTGACATATTTGGATATGTATATGCCGCTACAATAGCAGCTGGTGGCGTACTTGGTTATGTAAAAGCGCGTAAGTTTATATTATAAAAAGTTACTTCTTTTCCTAGTAAATAAATTTGGTTATTAGACGAATATTACAAACAAATTTCAGTTTTCCAATTGTTAATCAACTGGTTTTGATATTTATTCTTTTGGTCATCATTTTTATTTCTTTCTTTTCTTAATAACTTATTATATTAAGAAAATTAATTCTTAATTTTTTACAGAATCAGTTCCTTCTTTGGGTGCTGGGCTTCTTTTTGGATCTATTTTGGGTTATGGAGCTTATCAAACTTCTCAAGATCCTAAAAATATTGCACTCTCTGTAACAGCAAATATAATTCTTGGTGGCTTTATGGGTTATCGTTATATGAATACTCGGAAAATAATGCCAGCTGGAATTGCTGTACTTAGGTATTATTTTATCTAATAGTATAATAATAAAATAATATTATAATTGTAATGAAATTAAATTTTTTTAGTGGAATTGCACTGGTAAGATTATGTGTCAGGTCCTTCATTGCAAATGATTTACTAGTTAGAGAGACTAAGAACACATAAATAAACATTATTTTTTGATAATTCTCCAATTTTATTAATTTTATTGTTTATGGTATATAAAATGTGCATATACATAGCATGAGTAACCTCTGTCATGTAATAGTTGAACAAGAGTAATAGTAAACTTATCAAAAAAAGAAGATATAATTAGCTACAATGGTTGGACATTTAAGTAATAATGTCAAGAATCTATGTATTCGATGTATGTATGTATTCCAATGTTCCAAATATTTCCTAAAGAACATAAACAATGTTCTCCTGTAAGAATATGGTCTATAGTGTGATACAGTGTATAATTTAAAGATATTTTTGTTTAAATTTGTTTTAAATATTATTTAATGCTTAAAATTAAAAAAAATTTAATTGCTATGAATGTATATTGTCAAATAAAAGACTAAAGTGGCTATGGGAATTCATATTTTATTCTTGTCTTCATACCTTGTAATAGAAAATAAAGTAGTACTTGTTTTTGAACAAATGTACTTGCTTTGTGGATTGACGTTAGTGGAAGCTACATTTAAAGTTTTACTATTTTTATACACATATTTGTCCACATTATTTAAACAATTAATAAAATACTACACCCATCTGTATCAATAGGTATAACTACCTTTATCAATTTGTGTATGTATTACATACACAAATATTACATACATATTATATACAACAAGGATACTCATTTAACTCTTAAGGTTATTAAAATTTTATTATTACTTGTGATTAATATTATAATTATGATATGATTAATATAACAAAATTAAGTTTGCATATCTATCATCTTTTTCAATTAATTATTATTTTAATTTTACTTTATGTAGCAAAATTTAAAAAGAGTTATACATTTTTTCCCTAAAAAATTTAACATGGAATATTTTATATTTGAAATAACATCAAAAACTAGTTAAATTTTACTGTTATTTAAAGAAGTGCACAAGTTGATGATAATTGATGCTATATTTACAGATACTGGAAAAGTAACAACAATTTATTTATTATTTGAAATCATAAAAAAGTTTAGTTGTATTTCATAACATAAGTCATGACTTTTACTTATTGTGCAAAATATGTTATATTATAAAGTAAAATAGTATAAAAAGGGTTATAAATAAATCTCACGTTAAAAAAAACAAAATTTGGTCATTGGTCTAAAATTACCGAAAGAACTTTTGAAGTCATAATATTTTCAAAAAAGTGTTATGTTATGTAAAGTTTATTCATTTGATAAATTAATTTCAAGACAGTTAAAATAAACAATTTTCAGCTTTAAATATTAATAATTAAATCGTGAATATTTTAACTGCTTTAAACTATTTTCATAATTTTAAATTGAGTAATCGATCGTGTACGATAATCGAGATTTAAAAACTCGAAGTTCGAGTTGCGAAATCGAATATGCTTCGCATTGGATGCATTTACGAACCTTTCCGGGAGCTCTTGCTCGGTGGTGTGTCCGTGGGAGGAAGTTCTGCGGTTTCACCAGGTTCTTCGAGTTTTTCATGAAATTAAATACGATTTTCGAGTTAATCGACTAGCGCGTTGATGTTCTCTCGTAACTTTTAAGCGGTTACGACTGAACAAACGAATGTTCTTTCTCGATACTTTTAACGGGGAATTGGTCGCGAGAGAATTCGACAGGCACTGGTTGCAACACGAACGAAGCTTCAACCTTCATCGATCGATTTGACTGATTTTTGAGATCCAGTCACCGAAAACTTCCATCATTCCGTCAAAAACCGAGTGCCGACCCGCAGGGTGGCGATCATTTGATAAGGTTCGTATGCTAATATATATTAGATTTCATCTTCCCGAATGTATGCATGCAGACTGTCACGTGAAAATTTTAGTTATCGGTGAGTCACAACGTGTCTTGTAAAGTTTATTCAAGCTTCTTGACGTACAATATGTTTAACGACAGATTAAATATTTCTCGATCAAAGAATCATGATTTATTTCACTTTCCTTATAGAACATTTCCTTATTATGCACAATTGTTTCGTATTTTCTTTCATAATCTTCGCATTATCTATTACTCTATATGATTAAGGGTTAATGTTTCTTATCTATCTTGTAAGTGACGTTAATTGATTTGACACCGAATTATTCATTCAGTATAAGTATTACCACAATAATAGAGCTTATTTTGCAAACATTATACCATCTTGCTACTTGCTAACATTATGTTTGCAGAGCAGTCTGTATTTCGATGCTATGTTATCTTCAAGTTGCTACTACCTAACTCGGTCTGATATTTCCTGTACAAACCAGTAAAGTAATAATGAAATGCAAGAATTTAATTCAAATTTTAATGTATCAGTTAAATGATTTTTTATTTAACAATGATAATGTAAGTGTCAATATGTTAACACTTTTTAACTGATCTCTTCGTTTTTAATAACAATAATGATTTGGGAAATACCGTTATATTTTTATTTCGAATAATTTAAACAATATGGTACGTTTCTTAACATATTTTTAATTAGGATGTTTCAAGTTATTTTAATCTTATTTCCTTAGAATTGGTTAATATGAAAATAAAGTGTATATTATTTAATTATCATATTAAATTCGATTATTTAAGCATTTTTAACATAAATTTATTCTAATCTTTTTGGAGATTAAATGTGTAATATATTATAAATTTTTGTATAGAATAATAAAATACACCAATAATTTTTATATAAATAAAAT